GAACAGGTGTTAGTTCGTTCGTGATAAAGAAACGTGTAACAAATAATTTTTGCTGATGAAGCTTTGAAGCTTCGTAACATGTCCCAATTCCAATGTAAAGTATAGTTTTGGTCGGGTTGACTGTAAGATTTGCTTCCTGCCCTATTTCTGATGATTTTGTACAACGAATGATTTTGCATCACCCTGTCCGCGTGTCCCACTGGTCTTATACCTACTTAGTTCTTAATCATAAGTGACTAGCTCTTCACTGTTGAATTTTTTTGCATTGGATTTTCCCTCTTTTTCGTGCCGCCTGATATCGACTCTTTGATTATGAAAAACGCTCGAACTAATTGGAAACACTCAGAGTGGATTATCTCGGTTTTAGCAAGGTCTTTCTATTCAGTTGCGTACCCACGACCAATTTCGGCTAGGGAAATACGCTGAAAATATACTTCTTCTTTTCAAAACTGTAATTTTGGAACATCTCACTTTACGTAATCAGTTGCGTAAAGTGAAATATTACATAACTGATGATGAAATGTTCATAACAACACCAGCCAGTTAAGAAATAAAAATATTACAAAATTGTGTCTTACATGATATTATAATCATCTAACCTCACTTTTCAGATATTTACTGCCATTGCTGCCATATCAGTGGTCTAGTGGAAAACATAATTATGTCAAAATAGAGTTTCAGGCCTGTTAAAAAGTTATGTGAGCAATATTTGATGTTCATTTGTTTAGACTTTAGAGCAATTGGGTGACAAATTAAAACAAATGAAATGGCGAAAAATGCGACAATCATTGCCGAAGTAATAGACGCGAATTCGGAAATCATCCTCGAACAATGCCGATTTATTATGATAATCACTTATTTTTTTCTTTCTACCAATATACCACCGATCAAAACCTCCAATCAAAAACAAACCGAAACGAATTTGGAAGTTATTCAGATTAGGTTATGTGCAGAAGTGATTTGTGTTCGTTTGTGTTGAGCAGTAGATAAAGCTTTCTGTTTGTTTGAGTCGAACAAGAGATTATTGCTCCTACTGTATCATAGAAAAACCAATCAGTAACGTCAGATTACGTAGAGATTACGTGATCTTCATGATCATTTTGAACATGTTGATGTTTTCAAGCAAACTGGCATTTCAAGTCACCGCAAATGCCATAATCATGACATTAGAGATTTTATGGGGGACATTGCCATCGCGTCGATGTCCATATTTCCTGAGATTTTAGTAGCGATCTTTCGTACTAAAATCTAGTACTCAGTTATAATAGATCGTACTAGTATAGACAAGTAGGGAAATAAATAGGAATATTGAAAATGAAACTTCATTTGGGTAGGTTTGAAACGTTATAAACACTCACTATTAACTACTATAACGAAATATGGAACGAAAGAAATAACTTGGACAATAATAAAAATGTGAAATAAAACAAAATGAATACCTACTCTGGCAGAAATAAAAGGTGAATGCTTAATTCTTATATAGTAAACACGTAAAGGTTGGACCAAATTCATCAAAAGTTTGATATGTCAATTGTGAAAAAAAGCTCAGACACGTTAATAATTGTCTTCTTCAGATGCGAATTCGTTGGTCATATTCTTGATGACATCATGATTATAAATTACATTATTGTGGATGAGATCTAAGAATTTACTAGACAATGGAGGTTTTATCTGTTGACGTATTAGCGAACTAAGCAAAGAATTCGTACAATTATAATAGCATCCCCAACGCTGTAATTGTGTCTCTAACCTAACCCTCCCTGTGAATCTGCCACTGCACATTTCCGTTGTCCTTCAAAGCCATGGAAAGCTCTGTCCCTTTCCTCATTTTCGCGGTCGGAATCCGCGTGTACCACTAGGAAATCAATAACTTCGGGCTCTCCTTCTTGGCGAGAAAATCTTGTTTGTGGATCACCACCCCATACTGAACAAATTGAATTTCTCACAATCCTGGATAAATGGAGTGTAAATTGTACACAAGTTCACTAAGAGCCAATGGAGCAAATTTTACAAGTTTACTAAGAGCCAATGGATCACATTTTCGTGGATTCAATGTTGATCAAACGTTTTTCAACGTTGTCGATTTGGTTATAGCAATAACGTTTCATGGCATACGTTCCAACCATACTTATATTCAACGTAAAAATACGGTTTTCTCAATCGTGATAAAAAAAATGTGAGTCAAACGTTGATTTTAACCAATAGGTATGTAAAATACGATTTCTACTAATATGTGAACTTTGTGAACTGAATCCCAAATAATGGATTATATAATGACAACGTTTAATCGCGTTTAATTCAGATTGAATCAATTTTCACCCTTTATCCTTGTTCTCTTATAATATATGGAATTAATTTTCGTTTATTGTACTTCACTGCTTGGTTTAACAGTTATGCCTAATTCAAGAATAAGATAAATAACTAAATAATGAAATGTTATAGAACTTTGGGTTTAGTAAACAATTTGAGTCAGTAACGATTAATAAAAGTTATATTCCTCAATAAAATTTTCTGGCGAGGGGAATTTACGACAGCTGTAAAAAAGTGGTTCAATGGATCCTCAATACTTTTTCATATACAACTTTCGATATTATTGGCCGGTTTAATAAAGCTTTTCATGGACGTATGATAGTTGTTTATTATACAAGGAAAAAAAAGTAGAAGATTTCAGCTCCAGGTTTTGAAAATTGATGGAAAGCAAGAGTATACCAAATTGCTCATTGATTGATGAAAGAATGTTTCTTCTATCACTCCCAGTTTCACCGGAAACGACCCCAATTTTTGATTTTTCAATGGGACACCCTGTATATATTGTATTCCATAATCGGTTAGGGATTATCATGACGAATTCAACGATGCCGGGTTTGATAGGGTTATTTCAAACAATCACAAAGATATTTGCGTTCGAAGTTTCCATATATGCTCAATGGGTGTGACTGCATTATAAAAACTTCTATCTCTGTCAAACTCAATTAGCATAATTATGGAAACCTCATTTATTTTGAAGGTAATGATATTTTACTAAATTTTGAAAATCTTCTTTCTCCACAGTTTCTCCAATAGCACTGATGAGAACACTTCTGGTAATTCGATTTTCCGATAAGTATACAGGGTGTCCCGAAATTAGCCTGCCAAACTTCACCAGCGGCTTCTACGATCAAGAATAGGAAGAAACATGAGTCGAGAAATGTCTGCTAAGGAAGCTACGGCCCCCTGAATTGTGGCTCCTGAAGATGATATTTGTTGAATATTTCCGAAACGCCACGTGACAAAAATGGTACTTCGATCAACTCGAAATTTGGCAGGTGTTCATAATTTCGGTGACAATACATTATGGAATTTTTGTTGAAATTAAAAAAAATGGCTGCTCCAAGATGGCGGACAGGATTTTTTCCGATTCCATTCAAAATTGGTAAGAGGGGGTTTTTGAGGTCGGAGATCATGATTTTTTCGTTAAAATTTATAAATTCAAGATGGCGACTTCCAAATAATTGTTTGTTTTTGTATAAATGACGATAACTCCGTTGTTATCAACACAAAACTATTACTGCGACATATCATCTGTGAGAGAAAAAAAAGTTATTTGTAACTAAGTCATGGTGAGCTATGACCTACATTTGAAAAACTAAAGTTGGTGCTGATATCTCAAATTCTAGAAGAGTTGGTATAAATTCCATATTTTCTTCGAAATCACTTTGAAAAACTGCCATGAGAATGTGAAATTCCTATTTGAATATTTTCATAAATAAAGAAGTTACGGAGGAGACATGAAAATGATCAAAATCTGTTTTTTGCGTATGAAACAAAAACTAATAGATTTTATCAAAATATTTTTTCACATTATAGTTGGCCTTGACAAACACCACATTTGGTGTCATTTAACCGACCTCGTATCTCTCACCGTTAAAAAGATACCCATGGTGAGCATGGTAAGTGGGACACACTGTATAGGTTCTGTCTTATTGCAAATGATGCATTTTCTACAATTCTCGTTGAAGAATCTATTAATATGGGAGGAGAAATAAGAATAATTCGTAAGTTGATTCAGGATACATGACTGTATCTACCATGACATTTTAATCGATCATTCCTCCAACCTTTTAATACCCTTTTCCTTTCAACGACTAACCCTTGAAAATCCTCGCCATCCGAATCGTTGATTATTAACCTTATCTACCCACGACGTCTGAAATATTACCACCCTGCGTAACCAGTGCAATTAAATATCCCTTATCAACACGTCTGCGTATAGAGTCTAAAATAGGCAACATTCCCATTAGCGACATTCCACGAACAATGACATCAACCCTAGACCTTTGAAAGCTGAGACCTATTAATCAAAGCATAATTCAAACAGAAAAAAATATCTCCGACTATCATACAGCAATGGAATAGAAATTACACCTAGAGAAGTAATACAGCTGAGAGTTGGATACATTTTCTGAAAATTCTTGAGATGATAGTAGATTTGCTTCATTAGTATCAAGAGTGACACTTTGTTTGACAAGCGAATTTTGCATTTGCGAGGCGGATCGTCTAGCGAAGCCGAGCAGCAAAGGAGATGTTCGATGGACTCTAGCTGGCTGAAACTAACCTCAAAATGATTTTTTCGCTTACACCACTGCATTTAGTTCTCTAGGGACATCTCAGAAGTAATATTTGATCAGTACACTGGATTACTCTTCCAACCACCTTTTCAATGAGAGATCACAAGCCATAGGGTCAAAAACACATGTTGAGAGTGGTTTGAGCTACTCCTGAAGGCTATGCTAACGAGTTTATGGATTTTTTTGTAAATTTATCCACTTTCCTACCACTACAACTTGGAGGTTACCTATTTTTGATGCATCTCATACCGCCAACAAGAATCATGTTTGCTTATTTTCTGAGACAAATGCCGTGAATAAACTTCATCAGTTACTGAATCATTAAGAGAATGGAAGGAAACACTCAGAACAATCTCCCTGGATAACATATCGAATGAAACGGCTGTTATACATTATACGTATTTATATCTCCTAACCTTGCTTGACATGTTCAGCTATCATCGTTTTTGACGTCATTCTACATTCGGAGAGAAAGACAGTTCTCGTTGGGCATCTTTTTCTTCAGTTGATCGTGGCAGCCCTGCTTCTTTCTTGAAAGGCGGTAGTCCAAATAGCTCTGGGACCATACACTCCAAACTGTCCAGCCTTAAAGTCGCCTCTTTCCAAAGCTCGTACGGGACTATTTCATCTGGTATCATGATAGCTTGCATCCCAGCCTTGAGAGCTCCCCTAATCCCATTGATGGCGTCTTCAAGGACTAGGCACTGCGAAGGTTTCGGCTGGTCAAGGAATCTGCAAGGGAGGGAACAGTTGGTAATCATTGGGGAACATACAGTTTCGTTGTTTACCTAGATGCGCAAACGAGAAAGATGTCTGGAGCAGGTTTGCCCATTTTCACTTCGGGATCGGAGCTACCGCAGACCACGTGGTTGAAAAGATCGAATATTTGACGTTTGTTAGCCGTTTTCAGTTCCATTTCTTCCTGAGGCGATGACGTAGCGATCGCTATCGGTATGCGGTGGGAATGAAGGTGTCTTATTAACTGCTCAGCACCTTTCGATAGAAATAATCAGTATTTTATTATCTAATCTCACTTTGGTGATATCTCCCTCTATACTCCCGAACAAGTATACGACGTATGTCGATTGTAGAAGTATGGTGATGTCGAAGCAGTTTGGAAGAGCATTGTAGCGGAGAATAAGTCTGACGAAGGAGTAGAAGCATGGAGACAGATAGCTTGGGCTTTACCTGGCATGAACCCTGCATCAGGTAGCTTAGCTCTGCACAAGTCCTTGAAAACCTGCAGGAATTCCTCCCAAGAAATGGGTAAACCCATCTCCCTCACTGCAGTTTTGGCTGTATCTGTTTCGACTGAACCAGCTACCTTAGTTTTCATTTCGCTGGTGTAAGTTTTTCCATATTTAGCACCGATTTCCGATATTGCCGAGTGGTAAATGCCTTCAGTGTCTAGAACGTAACTGATGTTATCTGGGTCAAGTAAACATCTTTTGTACTCACCTAGTATGGTACCATCCAAATCGAAGATCACATGAGTGACTGGCGTGAATTTTGAAGGTCGACAGCATTGCGGTATCATTCTGGTTGGATATAAATGTCACTGAGAAATCGACAGCTGGTGACAAGCTGGTGCCAAATTAGGTACAGATTGATCACTGTCTGTCAGGGATAGAAATCTAAGTTCTTCCCATAGCTACGGCTTCACACTAGAAGGAGAATTTTTATGACCCATTGATTGTATTGGGGCTATTTGCCTCCACAACGCAACTTTTTCGGATCTATTATGTCTGGCCTTTAGAGAGTTTTGGAGTTCTTTGACTAGTCTCTATATGAGATTCCATAGGCTAGCTTTTAGGTCCCCTGTGTATCTTGGTGCTCTTGGTTCTTGATCTCTCGCTTACTGCCATCATTATTTGATGAAAAGCCTATAGGTATTCATTTCATGAAACGCCAGGAAAAAGTGAGACATAAAACATGAATAATTTCATACCTATGAACTCTATTTTTGATACTCCTCGATTTTTTTATCCTCTGTATCTCAGAAGCTATTCATTCTATAGTGCGACTACACGATTTTTTTCCTCCATTCGATCTTCTTTGCTTTAGTTGATTGAACTAAATACATCTGTTTGTTGAGCCCTATGAGAAGTCCCACTGCCCTGATATTTCAGATGAACCTCTTTTTCGTCTCAGTAGATATTCTGTGAATATTGGCGATGGTTTTTTAATAATCTCCCTACATAATTATCAGGAGTATGCCGCATAATCGACTGAGGGATGATTAATGAGAGAATTTACCGGCTGTAATCACGAGGTATCGAATTTGTACCCTCCACGTGAAGGGTGAAGGGTTCGGTGCTTGTGGCATGTCTACGAGTCTACGTGCATGTCGCTAGTCCGCCCTTTAAGGTCCTAGTCACGAAAACAACTGAACTGAGCTACGCTGGTACCGTCTCCCCTATCTGTCTCCCCCAGTGCCGTACCCAGAATTTCGGAGGGTTATATATCCATATGCTCAATCCGCTCAAAAGCGGCCAGCCACCCTGAGGTCTTCCTATACTAACTCTTAGAAGAAGATTGACAGGGTGATCTACAGAAACGTGTCATACTACAAGAGATATCTAGTAATGTTCAGAGAACATCGTGAGAACCAAGGGAAATAAGGTAGGAATTGGTGTTCTTCTGAAATTTCTGGAGGTAATATGCCTCGGGAAATACCTTCCTTAGCAATGTGTTCCAGAGCCTCGCTGTTCGTTGGATGAACGAGTCTTCGGAAAGAGATGTTCTGCAGGTCTCCAAAGTGACCACGAAGGGGTGCGAAGCCTCAATTCGACGGGTTAATCTCGCGGGGACTGCCAAGAGAGGAACAATTGTTAATATTTCAGAAGAGCATCGTCCATGAAAATATCTATAAAATAGAGCTAGATTGCCAACTTTTCTATGGTGTTCCAGAGAAGTGAGTGAGTTTGTGAGCGAGGCATCACCCACGAGACGAATTGCCTTTCATTGGACAGAATCCAACAGTTTCAGTGGGCCTATTTTGTTTACTTCGAAAGTGGCCAGCCACCCTAAGGTCTCCTACCCATAGACAGGGTGATCTACAAAAACGTGACATACCACATATCGGGTTTTCAAATGGAGCACCTTGCCTTCTGTATATTATCCTCAATTCTTTGATTTTTTGTGATCACTCATTTATATTACAATCAAGTAAGTATAAAATGGAAAAACAGAAATCCCAAGATTTGACACTCGAAAAGCATTCCTGATCCCTCGTATATCCCTTCAGTTCATAATCGTATATTCACGAAATTGATATTTCTTATGCAATCTCAATTGGCATTGGATGATAGACAATGATGAATAAACATACGAAATAGTCATTTTTGTTGATATACGATCAAAAATACAAAGATCCGGAATACCCTCGGGAATACTCTTATCTTAAAAAAATATTCCATGGTTAACGTCTTCAATTCGATTCCTTTTCAATGTCAGGATAGAGATCTCTAAACCCGACATTCTTAACTTGCGAAGACCAATACGAAATGCCATCCTCATTCTTATATTCTCATTTCCAATTTCCATGCAAATAGAGTGGGAAAATTGAGTTTGGCCGGAGAGATGTGTATCAAAACAAATTCAGAAGAGTCGTATGTACATAGCTTTATTTTTCACTTGTCCATTACTGCTTTATAATACCTTGGCAATAACGGTTGCTATTAAGAGACCCATAACGCCCGGGGTGTTATGAAGGTCATTATGAATCATAACGCCCGCTAATTGTTTTTTTCTGAAATTCATAAAATTACATACCAATTCTTAAAAGTACGCCAATAACACAATCTCATCTATGACAAAACTTTAATTTTTCAACTTCCATTGTAAAATACTTCATAATCCTTGAGAGATAAATGTTACCCTCCAGAGATATCAATAAGGAAATTTGTGATATCAACGTTTCGAAGATTTGTGTCCGTTTGTGTGTTTCATCAAAAACAAAAACAAGTACCAAACATACATTTAAACATCAATAATAAAGTGTTGGAAAATGTGTCATACGTGAGGTTTCTAGGCCTATACATTGATGAGTGCCTTGACTGGAGGAGACACTGTGAGTCAGTTATTTTAAAACTCAACTCCGTTATCTATCTTTTCAGAAACATGAGATCAGTTTTAACAGAGAAACAATTGATAATGTTAAATGTTATATTATGCACAGGCCGAATCCCGACTAAGAAACGGAATATGTTTGTGGGGATCATCCACTTGTTTCAATGATCTTCATCTCGCAGAAGAAATTAAATCGTTGTATCGCTGGTGTTTCTCGTGCCACTAGTTGTCGAAGTTTTTTTAAATCTTATGAAATTTTAACTTTACCGTGTTTGTATATTTTTGAAGTATGTGTTTTTATATTTTCTAACATAACCTCTTTTAAAACTAACAAATAAATTCATTCTATCAACACAAGACAGCAAAATGACCTACATGTGCCATTTTCAAGAAGAAATCTTTTATACAGATCACCTACTGTGACTGGGCAAAGGCTGTTCAATAAACTTCCGGCCGACATTAAATCATGTGTTACATTGAAAGCATTCAAGCAATGTCTTAGGAAATACCTAATAAATGGTGGATTTTACTCCTTAGATGAATTTTGAAGACTTAGTTTTAGTTATATTTAAGTTAGTTAGTTTAAGCTTTAGTAATCGTCCTTGACCAATTCTATACATGTAACTGCATGTCACAAAGAAAATAAAGTATTATTATCATTATTATTATTATTATTATTAGATGTTGAACCCCTGGGGAATCTCCCAACTCCCAATTCACTAATACTGGGTGAGGCAGTATCCCTGAGTTAGGTATGTGTGATTTGCCCAATTTCTGTATAAGCGTGTAACAATTTAGAAGTCGTACTCATCTTGGAAGACCTTGATATTCGCGTCTGATTGCTCAGAACCTTTACAGTACTGGTACAATGGCAGAAAAACATAACCATGACCTATGATCTTTCGATTTTCAATGTTCTGTTGGTTTTTATTTTTATGATAATTATTATTGTTATCTTATTTACTCACGTTGAGATTATGGATGGAATTAATCATATTATCTTAGCTTACAGGACATATTATCCGATAGTGATTCTGATTCATCAGAAATACCAAGCTCTACGTCTACTGAGACCATGAGATCTTCTAGTTCGACTTCATAAATTTTTTCAAAGTATCTGAAAATAATGATATATATTTTTTATCCACTCATACTTAACCATTCAAACGCTTAACCTAACATTTCTTGAATACTGGCACTAATACAATAAAATAAACTGGGCAGGATACTTTTTTCGAATTGATGGAAATCCATGGCAATCTCTGTGATTCTGTGAATATCTGGAAAAAAATCGATTTTCGGGTAATAGCAACCGTTATTTCATATTTCATACTCTCCATAATGCATAAGAACAAAGTGAAAGAAAAAGTGGGATTAGGAACTTTCATATTCCATTGATGTCGATATCGAGATGAAAAAAATCATCCTGTACATAGGAAACGAGAACATAAAATATTCAAATATTCGCATGTTGAAGTAATGTTCCGATCGACTGACTGAGATTGGCAGTTCACATCGAGTTGGGGAGAAAACAAAAACCTAGCAGACAAATAATACACTCGCACATTCAGCCTACAAAGGCACAACGCCATTTTACGGGGAAAATAAAGGAAATCCAACGTTTTCCCGACTTTCCTGAAATCCCTGCATGAGATAAAGTTTGTCGAAAAGCGCATGAAGGCGTATCAATATTTGAAAAGATAATTCATTTGTCTGATGCTGGAGGCTGAAGGTGCTCTCTGATTCGCATGGATAATGTAGATAAGAGCAGTGGTGTCCTTCCAGGACCTGCAGTAGCTTACCCACGGAAGGGATGAAATATACATCGTGTCCATTTCGAAGCTCCCCCCCCTCTTTATCTCAGCATTAGTCGTGCGATACAATGCCGTGCGTTTTTATTACGTCACAATTTTATTGAAATGAAAAGAGATCTTTTTTCATGAAGTCATATTAGAAATTTTTATACAGGAGAATTGATATGATTCCCATAAAAGGTTTCGAAAACACAGGCACGTCTAAATAGCATTTTTGCGAACGTGTTTCTACTAGAGCCATTGAACGTTCCAAGATTCGCAGTTTTTCAGTAGCCCAAGCAGAAGCTAGTGAAGCTCTGAATAGCCCAGCACCCTTTTATGGTATTGCGAAAGCTATACAAGCGACAATCATCAAATCATGGATGCAAACCAAATCTCAAGAATGGTGGAACAACTCGCCAGGAATGAGACAGGCTAAGGAGTTCATTGAAAAACTATCGCCAATATTCACAGAACATCTACAGCGAAAACAAAAGAAGCGATCGACTGAAGCCCCTCACGTGCACCACGGGAAAGTATTCATTGAAGAACCGTCAAAAAATAAATCTGAAAAACTACTCGAGATGAGTAGCATAGATTAAAAGGACCATTTTAATCTATGTGAGTACGAACCAAATCAGAACAATAACGGGACTTCACACTGATCACAGTCCATCGAGAGGACACCTGAATAAAATGGGACTGTACAACGGATAACTTCTCTGCAGAC